GGGGAGGGGAAGGGGGAAGGGGGGCGGACAAGGCCGGGGCAGGGAGGCAGGAGCGTCTGCATCAGACGCAGCTTTTTCCTTATTGTCTTGGATATGACGTAACTGGCTGTTAGGGGCATTCAGTTCTCACAGTCCTAACTCCTCACAGAGATTAGTTGAGGGTATTTGGCCCTCTTAGTATGTTTGTTCATTCGTTTTCTCTGCTTTCAGCTTGGTGTGACAAGCCTGGGCACTGAGGGAGTGGTGCGTGTAAAACTGAGAGGCACTACTGCCCTGTCTGTGCCAGGATCTCCCTAACAGGACCGCAGGATCCGAGTAGAGATTTCAGTCTCTATTGGCAGAATGAGGATGTCCAGTTTCATGGCCTGCACACTTTGGGGTGTGGTCCATAGTAACTGTCATTCTTCCAGCCACTTTTATTCATCAAATGCACTGATCCATGTCAAGTGCAAGAGCCTGTGCCAAGCCCTGGGGATAAGAGAGAATTCAAATTCTGTCCTCCAGTACCATAATCCAGCAAGAAAGGAAAGATATAAACATGGGAAGTGCCCCTAGAGGCTCCAAGAACTTCATGGCCCAGAGGCGGGGTTGCCCAGGCTTTTCTAGGCGGATCCCAGGTGGCTTCACAGAGAAGGTGATATTTGAGCTGGAACTTCAAAGATAGTGCTGCCTCTCTCAGGAGGGTGCTGGAAGAGGACATTTTAGGTGGCGCGAACAGCAGAAGCAAAGGCACAAAGTGGAGAAAGCTCAGATCAGAGCTGGGCACCAGTGAGTACACTGAAGGCTGTGGAAGTAGGCTGGGGCAGGTGCTGTAGGGCCCTGAATGCTAGACACAGGAGGTTCAGTTTGATTTTACCAGCAGTGGAAACGATGGGAGATTTTTGAGCAGGGAATAATATGATTAGAAAGCTTTCTAAAGAGCATTCTGAAAAAGGTGTGGAAGAAGAGATCCAAGAGATCTTTCAAAATTAGAATCTGCTGGACTTAGCCACAGATGTGTGTGTGTGTGTGTGTGTGTGTGTGTGTGTGTAAGAGAGAGAGATGGGGTCAGAGAAGAGGTAGGAATAAAATACAGCTCTGCATGCCTGGACAGGTGACTGAGAATGACAGTGGATTTCAGAGAAAGAGGGCTGATTTGAAGAAAATGCGGACCAGCTTGAGGGGCCTGTACTATGCTGTTTTAAGAGATTTGGCTAGTTGTAATTCACTAAGGGTTGTAGGAATGAGGAAAAGTATTTTTTATTTTTAAATTTTGGATGGAGACACATAAACTTGTTTGCAGGCTAAAAAGAAGAAGCCAGTGAGGGGAAGGAGGAGAGAGAAGGAGAAAGGTAAGATGGACTCACGCACAACTGGAGTAAAGAGAGAAGGGGTAGAAACTGGTCTTAGCTTATAATGAACACCAGCTGCCCCTGCTGCCCACTTCTCCCCATCACCTTTCTCACTCCCAAAGGCAGCTCCTAGCTCTTTCAGGTGCTTTTCCCCCCTGATATTTACTTCTATATTTCTAAATTGATTTATCAGCTTGAGGCATTATATATTGGCTCTCTCATATCTCCCCCTGCTTTTCCTCCTCCATTCCAAATATAGTCATATCACAATAAATCAATTCAATGTTTGTGCTATTATCATGAGCTAAATAGCTTTCTATGATTATGTTGCTTTTCTCTGAATTAGTAGTAGTGTTGCATTATTATTTGCTTAAAATTTATGTATCTGTTTTAGATTCTTCCTACCCTCCAGCAGCAGCCTCTCAATACAATTTTCTACACCATAAAATGTATCAGGTAATCTGTTGGTCTCTCTCTTTGTTTTTTTGATTGGTGACCTCTTTCCTGGAGTTCTCTCTCTCCCTTGATCCAGTCTGGACTGTTCCCCCGCCCCCTAGGTTTGCTATAAGGCTTTCAGTCTGGAACTTCTCTCAGCACTATCTTAGAAATTTCTTTAACCTGTCTCAGCTCTGTTAGACCCTTTTCTTTGCCCTGTGTCTCTCTTCATGGTTTATGCCCAATGGAGCACACTTCCAATAGCTTTTTAAGAAAGAGTTCTTAGAAGATAGTTTTTGTTTGTTTTAAATATTGCGTGTCTGAAAATGTCTTTATTCTACCCTAATAATTGATGGATATTTTGGCTTGGTATAGAATTCAAAGTCTAATAATATTCCCTCAAAATTTGAAGATATTTTTTCTCTTGTTTTCTGCTTTCCAATATTACTGTTGAGAAGCTTGATGATGCCATTTGAACTTGTGACTTTTAGTTTTTTTCCCCTGAAAGCCTGTGGGATCTTCTCTTTACCCTCAGTTTTCTGATTATGCTTTAGTTTGGATTTTTTATTCATTAATTTGTGCTAGAATTTTTCATTTTCTTTGGTTCTGGGAACTTTTTTTAAAAATAATTCTTGTCTTACCCAACCCCCCCCCCCATGACCCACACCCCAGTTTTTCTGATCTCTTTTTCTGGAAAGACTTCCTGGATCAACCTTCTAATTTACTTGTGGCTTTCCTCATTATTGTTCATCATTTTGTCTGCTTGTTCTACCTTCTGAAAGATTTCCTTGATTTTTATCTACTAATCCTTTCACTGAATTTTCTTATCTTGGCAGACATATTTTTAACTAGCAAAGATTCATCCTTATTCTCTTATTATCCCTTTTTTATAGCAATCTATTCTTGCATCTTGGATGCAGAGTCAGTTTCTCTGAGAATATTACATGTGTATTTTCTTCAGTGTGTGTGCTTCTTCTGAGTTCCTTTTCTTGGTTGAGTGGTTTGTTTTGGTCTCCGTCATTCATATTGGAGGCTTTCCTTACATGTCAAGTGATCCTTAACTGTTCAGATTTAATGGAAAGGTACTCCGTAGAAATTCATGACTGTGGTCGTCACTGGAGAGTCAATTTGAAAATCCTCCTATGTCCTACCTGAGGTATAAAAAAGTATCTCAGGAGCTGAACAGGAGCAGGGGGCTGTGAGCCTCCTAATTCAGTATGCAAACTTTGACTTAATGTTTTCAGACTGGTGTTTCATCCCTGCCCTCCACGGTGGCTGGTATCCTCCTGTCTGAAGTCCCTCTGCCTCAGTTTCTCAATCTAGAGCCAGCCCTTCTCATCCAGAGTTCTGAAGAGAATTAAGGCCTAATGCCTTAAGGCAACCATTGTATGGAATGAATTACCATCTCTTCTCTGCATCTAGAATGCCATTAGCTATGGACCATCCTTGGGAGAATTGAGAGAGTGATCTCTCGAATCATTTTCTATGGGGTTTAATTCTCTTCGTGGAACAGCGGTTAAGAAAGGCTGTTGGAGAAACAGTTTCCCTTTGAGGCTGGGCTAGTAACTTGGCTCTCTGATGAAGGCGGAGTGCAGGCAGACCCCGGTTACCAACAAGATCCGGTCTAAGTGTGCCTTTAAGTTGAATTTGTAGGTAAGTCGGAACGGGTGCATACGATTCTTATTTAGCCTTACTTTAGTGCAAAAAAAGGCTCAAAGCCTTTTCAATGATTTAAAAATTGTATGTGAATCAAGTGAAGGTGATTGTGATGAATTTGTTACGAGTAGAGGCTGGTTCAGTCTTCAGTCGTTTCAGAGTGAGGGCAAATTTACTTAACATTAAAGGGCAAGTATGAGCTGTCCATAAGTTGGATGTTCGTTACCCAGGGACTGCCTGTACATGTTTAATCTGTCATTTTACCTTAAGCGAATTTTTTTTTTTAAAACTAGACATAATTTTATAGCTTTGAACCTTGGGGCATTGCAGTCACCACAGCTGAGGGAGGAGGTGGGTGGTGGTTGACTCAGAGAGAGGTATCTGAACCACCCCCCACAAAAAACAAAAAAACATTGCTGTAGAGTCAATTCATAGCGACCAGTCCCGGTTATTTTTAGACGTTCCTAGAAGGTTGGTTCCAGGAACATATTCAAAGGAGGAAAGGGTGGCAGCTTCCTGGCTGTGTCATGGCTGCCATTCCAAGAAAGCAAGGAAACGTGAATCAGGAGGCTTCTCTGCTGGAAATTCCCTCAGTCGGTGGTTTGAGGGCTGTGGCAAGAGGAGTTGGGCATTGCTGCCCCTTTGGGGCCTGCACCTGAGCCCTGAGCCCCATGGCTTGGCTCCACCCAGCAGTCCCCTCAGAAGCCAGTTTCTAAGACTGAGGACAGTGGCCCCTGAGACTAGCTTGTTTTTAGAAACTATGAAAGTCGGTGGGATCATGTTGCTTTAGGTACTTTGTGATACATCTCTAGTATTATTGCGCATGACATCAGGAAATTTTGGGCGCTGGCACCAAGAATGATGCTGTTTTGGAGGGTGCGACCGTCTATGTAGAAGGAGAAGCTGAAACTCTCCTCCCTGGGCCCCACTGGCCTCTCAGCAGCTCCCTAGGAGACCAGAGAACGCCATTCCTGTTGGGGCTGCTCGACTGCTTCCTGGAGGGGGCTCTGCGAGCCACTTACTCGATGGTGCAGAGTTTGTCACAGGAGCACAGGGACGCGAGCCTCTTCGAGGTCGCAGGAGGGGACCTTCGGCTGAGCAGTGAGTTCTGAGATTTTTAACCCTGTGTATTTCTTTCTGTTCTCCAAATGCCCAGCGGAGGAGCCCTCTGAAGCACCCCAGCTGCCACCCTGGGGGAAGGGCCCACAGGCACCGGTCAGGCTGCCGGAGGCCCCCACGGAACCCGCTCGCCCGAAGCTGACCCTTGCCCCGCTGCCGAGACCCAGCGGCCCGCCGCCTCCCGAGGACCCCGGACAACGCCCCGTGCTGCCCAAGAGGCCCCTGTTGCCGCGGCCCCCCGAAGAAATGCTGCCTCCGCCGGCGTGGCCCGGCTGGACAGGGCTGCCGTTGCTGCCTGGGTCCACGGGCGTCATCATGGAGACGGGAGAGGCCGGGCCTCCGGGCAGAATGGGCGTGTCGGGCAGGGGCCTGCCCCAGGGGGTGGATGGTCAAACTGGTCAGGCCCCTGTCCCCAACTCGGAAGGCTACGCAGGTGCACCAGGTAAGCCAGCTACACCCACAGCTGGACTCAGCTGAGCCTAGAGCCGCTGAGGGGCCCAGGTGTCCTGGCTATAGGCTGTGTGCATACACAGATGGGGAGACCACAGACTGCTTCCACCTGAACCCCAGGGTGTCTGCTGCAGGGAGTTATTGGTGGGTCCAGGGTCCAGCCTTCATGTGAACAAGTTCCGGAACTTAGCTTCCCCAAGGTACAGAGGTCCTGAGGGACCAGTTCATGCCCATCAAAACCCAGAGACTGGGGCACTCCAGGAGCAGTGCAGTAGGTCACACTTAGAAATGTAATTACCCATGGGTTGGAGCACCCCTGCCACATGGGCAGCTCATTTGTCTTCCTTCCTAGCAGGAAGGGGCCCTTGGGAAATTACATGTGTATGGGGAGCTTGTTTAGTAGCAGAGATGGGCAACTCATCAGAGCGGTTAGGCAGGAGGTTGCTGGTTCAAATCCCAGTGCATCATTCACAAGCTTCATGACCTGAGGTAGCTTCCTAACCTCCCCAAGGCTCAGTTTCTTCAACTGCAAGGTTAGGATAATAACAATACCTCAGGGAGTTATTGTGAAGATGAAGCAAGAAAGCTTAGTTTAGTGCTTGGCTAGGAAGTACTCAGTGCAAGTTGTAAATGTCAACACCTTGCTGATGTGATGGTGGGATGGTGATGTGGTGGTGGTAGTGGTGGTGGTGTGGTACTGGTGGTAGTGGTGTTAGTGGTGGTGGTGAATGGTGGTGTGGTGATGGTGGTGTGGTGGTGGTGGTGGTGAATGGTGGTGTGATGGTGGTGTGGTGGTGGTGGTGAATGGTGGTGAATGGTGGTGTGGTGGTGGTGTGGTGGTGGTGGTGAATGGTGGTGAATGGTGGTGTGGTGGTGGTGTGGTGGTGGTGGTGAATGGTGGTGTGGTGGTGATGAATGGTGGTGTGGTGGTGGTGGTTATGGTGGTATGGTGGTAGTGGTATGGTGCTGGTGGTGGTGGTGGTGGTGGTGGTAGTGGCAGTGGTGTCTGAGTAAAATGAATAGGAAGAAGGAAAAGAGAGTGAGCATTAATGTGATTCCCACCATGTGCCAGGTACTGAACCAGTTGCTTTATTTCATGTAATCTTACCAAAAACACTGTGAAGTCAGTGTTAGTTTTACTTTACCGATGAGGAAACTGAGATGCAGGACTATGATGTGTAAACAGATAGTTGTGTTTGGGGCAGATCATGTTCACCACCATAGAGTACACACCAGTCCCTCTGAGTCCGACCAGTCTCCGGCAGGGCTGGGGTTGGCCATCACTGATGGCCTGGTATACCCATGCGTCTGAGGCTGAGATGACAGGAGACATGCCTTCTTTCACCAGCTCCCCTTTCCTCTGCTCCTCCTTGGCCACCATGAGCCACAGTCATCACAGCACACCCTTGGGCAGATATGCCACCTTTCCTAAGACAGTAGCGTGTCTTCTTTTCATTCCATGCACTCTACATACCTGTACTCTGTTGAGCTACTGTTCATTGTTTGTTCATTTATTTAACAAATACCACATTAAGCCTAGTTGGGGAAGTAAAGTTTGTGGAGAGATAATGCTTTTGGAGGGCATATGTGCTCGTTGGCTTGTGCGCGTCTCTGGAGTCCTCCTCCCTGGCCGGGGCCCCATGGCCCCAGTGCCCCATCCTCCTTCTCCTCATAGCCCTCCCCACCCGGCTTGCCCTTAGTGCTATCTGCTCTGCCTAAGGATACGAGGCCAGTGAAGAAGTAGGCACAGGTGGGTACAAACGTGTCCGTTTCTAGGAAGGCAGCTTGGAGTTGGTGCCCTTGCTGTATCTATGTCTGTTTCTCTAGTAATGACTTGATTTGAGCACAGAGGAATGGGGGGAAAAAGGGCTCAGAAAAATGAACTGTTATTTAGGATTTTGACATTCCATTCCCATTTTGTTTTTCAGGATACCCCAGGTCACCTCCCGTAGCCTCCCCAGGTATGTCTGCTGCCTGCCAGAGGCCAGGCCCAGGAGGACAGTTCTCCTTACTGGTCTCTGCCCCTCACCTGTATTTCCCGCCTCCTCCATCTGGGCAATTAGCACAGGGAGGGGGGTGTTGGGGTCAGCAGTGGGATGGGTCTCTGCTGAAGGCAGTGGATCAAACCCTCCAAGGTGTGCTCCCCAGATAGAGTTAGAGTTATGCCCAAGACAAGGAATTTCCCCTCATACATCATCCCAGCTCATTGCCAGCTTTGGCCCTGATGAGTTGCTGGGGTCCGGGTTTTAATGGTTTATCAATAAGTAAGCAGCTGCCCAAATTATTCCCATTACCTACTTCCCGTCTGCCCCCCCGTCCCCTGACCACCCACCCACCCACACACACACGGCCCCCATGCACAAACACTCCCACTCCTTACACATAGTCTCATACACACAGTTAATCTCTCACACACACAATTTTTCACAGTTTCTTACAGTACAGTCTATCTCACACAGTCTCTCGCTCACACTCATATACACAACTGTTCATGCAGAATTTCTCTCACACACAAAGAGATTACCATCTCACACACAGTCTCTCTCTCACACACTCACGTACACACCATCAATCTCACACACACAATTTCTCTCACACATACAGAGATTACCATCTCACACAGTCTTTCTCTCACACACTCACATACAAACCATCAGTCTCTCACACAGAATTTCTCTCACACATACAGAGATTACCATCTCACACACAGT